TAGTTCTTGCTTTGTGTTTTGGATGTCTGACAATGTTGTGTCATCTGCATAGAGATCTGTAGATGATACTGAGTCCTTTAGTACAAGTGGTAGGTCATTAATAAATAAAATAAACAGTAACAGACCCTGAATTGAGCCTTGTGGTACTCGTGTGTGTAATATATGGATTTAAACATACTTTTAACAATTTTTCAGTCATATTGCTATGATGTCTGCAGTGTGGCAGTTTATAGTGATATCTAGTACTGAGGCATCATGCTGCAAACATGTAGCATGATGTCCTACCTAGTCACATTTTATCCTGACACCAGGTCAATCAGTCTTAACACTAACCTTTTAATGCTGAGAGCTTAGCAAGGCAGCTCTTAGTTCCATATTTGTAAGTCTTTGGTATGCCATTACCTTGATGGTCTCAACCACTGTTCTTTGTATGCTAATATACCATTACCTCGATGGTCTCAACTATTGTTCTTTAAATGCTGGAAACAATTCCCAAAAGGTTACATGTTAAGTGTGATCTCCAGTGGTGACTGATGCATTAAACCAATTTGTTCTCAAGAAAGTTACAAGACCAGGCTGTTTAGTGATGACTACATAAACATCACATCAGACTAATTAACAAATACCACATATTTTCTGCAATTCTTCATACTACCTAACTGATCATACACCATAAATCCATAAAAAAATATTTATCACTTTTGTCCTTAAAGTGCTTAGCAAGGAACTTCTTCGCTAAATGTTTGCCAATTTTAGGTTCTAATAAAAATAGGTATATATATATATATATATATATATATATATATATATATATATATATATATATATATATATATATATATATATATATATATATATATATATATATGCAATAAACTGATGACGAACAGTGCGAAACTAGTAACTAACTAGCCTATGCTCTTTCGACTCTTAATGAGTCTTTTTCAAAGGCAAATACAAAACATATATACAATAAACAAATAAACACAAAAACGTTGTGTTTGTAAACCTCTACATGGCTGTCTTCACATGTGCTAAAACTATAAATACAACCAGCTTGTATAGACTAGATGCTGAAACTGAAAATGTTGTATAATTCCCTAAAAGTCTACAAGCCAAAGCGACATCTATTTTTACTTTTTGTACATATGTAACGCAGAATCAAATATCCGGGATATAATCTGTCGTCAGTTTATTGCATCTATTTTAATTAATCCCTGACACACGTGATCCCTTGGTGGATCCAGTACGCTTGAAAGGGTTGTTATTCGCCATATGATTTGTATTCTTTATTTATATATATATATATATATATATATATATATATATATATATATATATATATATATATATATATATATATATATATATATATATATATATAACTATTGTAAACTTGAAAATTTATTAAAGTTTATTCACAAATTATTTAGTTCAACAGATAGGCATATTTTTCTTATGTAGAAGACTAAAAATGCTCTCAAAAAGGATGCCAACATAGCCCCAACAAAAATCTTGATGGGATGAAAAAGTAATGACAAACATAGTTTTGGCCAAGGAAAATTATGCATTGCTTGAAATGGATAAAGGAAAATATAAACTAAACATTTTAACAATTTCACAAATGAAAAAAGATTAATTGTGAAGTTACACAAGAGAATAAAATGACCATATTTTACTCAGTAATGATACAACATGACTTGCACCTGTCCCTTATGCTGCAAAATTTTCAATGATTATTATAACTTTAAAATCACAGAAAACAAGAGTTAAAACGGTTTGAAATTCACCATAGTGATCAAAAACTTCTTGACATCCAAAATAATAACCAACAAAAATCATATGACCCCTTTCTAAAACTTTAACGAACAGGTAAACTGTAAATCTTAGGATGGAATAAAAAAAAATTAAAAAAAAAACAATTTGAGATGAGTAAGTTTAGAGGAAGTTTCAGCATAAAGATGCAAAATGTATTTTAAAATTGGGGATTCTGCTATGAGTTTTGAAATTGAGATTCCATGCTTGGACAATGAGGCACATAAAAACAGAAAGACAAATGTTGGCGCTTAAATAAGATTGCAATTTTCATTATAATAAGCTGTCAGAAATCTCACAAACCTTGCTTACAAGCACAGTGTTATCATAGACCTCCATTCGTGTCTAACACATTTTCTTTCAATATACCCTCAGTAATTGCTTTTAAGTGGAGTCAAACAGCAAAGATCTGACATTGCAAAGTGCAATGTATTATCCATCCATCCACACACTGTGCAGTTTGCAAATGGATTCAACTTATAAGCAAGTGCATATGATAATCCAACACTGCAAGCTACCTGACTTCACAGATCTAAACATGCAATTTTGAATACTGTACATGACAAATTTTATAGTTATTACAGATTTCATTGCAGCAGCTGCAAAAAAGAGATGATTATTATATGAAACCTGTTAGATTTGAGATTAATAATCTGTCTGATAATTGACTATATGCAAGAGTCAAAGATATCCAAAAATAAATATAAGGTACTAATGGATAGGAACAAATGTAGGACAAATCACTTTTGACAATTCTCAAGAGATACTTGAAAACTGTTCATTTATCATTTTTTTCTATATAGATTAATCTTGTCATTTCTCACAAAGCATTTTCATTTAGACTCTATTTTTAGGGTGCATGAGATTTTTGGAAGAATTAACTTCTCAGCTGTTCACAACAGCCATCAATTAACTATCACATAACTGACATTCAATTGTTATGCTCATCAGTTTAATTATAAGGAAGACTGAATAATTGGTACAATGGAATGCATATAAATACCATGAAGACCATTGAACAAACAGATTGTAATATATATATATATATATATATATATATATATATATATATATATATATATATATATATATATATATATATATATATATATATATATATATATAAACTCTTTGGAGTGTATGTTGATAAATAACTAACTTGGAATGATCACATAGATTATGTTTGACAGTAACATTATATCTTTTTCACTAATGCCTGCTGCAAAGACTGAAGAAATATCTGCCAAGACATGAAAGAAAAATGTTCGATCCAGCCTAAACATTTATAGGTTGCTGCATTTGTATAGGAAAATATGAACAAGTTTTTCGGATGGTTATACTTCACTATTTTTGGAGTGCAGTATATCCATCCAACAAAATTAGTTCATATTTTCCCATATAAATGCAGTGACCTTTTTATTATATGCTCATTTTATTATTCTTCCCAATGCTTAAATATATAAACAAAAATACACTACAATAAATAAAGTAACTGAATGTATGCTGTATTAAAATCTACATCTACAAGCCTAGCTGTATCATTACACAACATTATTATTGTGCACATAACTCCGCTCTTACAAATTTAAAGTTGGTTGCACACTAGAAACAAGTTTTGAAAGAAAATGGCATTTGATTTTCTTAAAATTGAAATTTGGAGTAATATCATTAATGAATAAGCATTGCAACAACTTTTCCATTTGATCTGGAATAAATACATTTAGGTATTTTTGTCGATTCAATGCAATTTTATGATTATGGTCTGGATTTATCTACATGAAGTAACTTACATCAGATTCCAGCAGCATCTGCCAATTTAATCATATGTGTGTTGACATCTACATACGTGTTTCTGTTGTTATTGAATGTTTCATATCATAATGTGGGAAAATTATAAAGTTTTTCAATTGCAATTATCGAAAAGATGCTGTGGAAATAAATATTTATTTCATTTTGAGTGCAGTAAGGAGAATATAACTGCACTTGGAATATACTCAAAATTAGAGTACAATTTCAAAATGTATAATTAACCTGGAGAACCCATGATATGGCTCATGTAATTTGGATTTGCAGAACTACAAAAGTATATTTTGAAGAAATGTAGGATATAAAATGTTAAGTATATTTTTGTCATTTTTACCAGCTAAAGAAGACATTTTATGTCTTATATCTTACATGTTATTGTCAGGACCCAGTCTAGTATCTATAGTTAACCCATATCTGTAACATTGTATCAAAAAAGTTAACTAGGAATGTGCCAAAGTTAAAGGATATGTTGCAGTCCAGGAAACATCTGCTTTATCCTAGTTCATTCAAAAACAAATTTATTCAACCGAAATGTAAAGAGTCTACCACACAAGTGTACATTATTTGTTTACAAAGAAGTTCCAAATATACTGTTGGGCACATGTCTTGTTCATGAGTGCAGTATGAAGGTGTGCAATATTGGAAATAATGAATGATTCTGAAAATGTAAAGTTAACAGAGACAAAAATGAGCATATAAAAATACTTGTTATGGGCTGCTGGTGCACATTGCGAGGTTCATACAAACTAATATTAATCATATAGTCGACTTTCAAAAACATCCAGCTACTACAAGTGGATCCAATGACAAAATCTGCAGATATGTTTAAGTCTTAAAATTTATTTCCTTTTTACAAAAAGAACTTATTTCAGATTTTTTTCGGCTTATAAACCTTTTAAAATTTACCACCTTCTTACCTGAATGAATGCATGTCAACACCAGCTATACTACTATATTTAATACAATCAACCTGTTTAAAATTACCAAAACGAAGAACTAAACCATTAAAATAAAGACATTTACAAATACAGGATCATAGGACTGGAATTTGATACTATCTGAATAAATCATGCTGACAAATTGTGATATAAAACTGGATATTCTGGCAATTTCTCCTTTTCTCCTATGTGATTGCATCAAGTGGGGTTGGGATTTTAATGTAGCTTTAACATATTTTTCAGTCATATTGCTATGATGTCTACAGAGTTGCAGTTTATAGCAATGTCTAGCACTGGGATATCATATTGCATTGCAGACATGTGGAATCATGTCTCACCCAGTCGTTATCATGACACAAGGCCAACCAGTTCTAAAACTAACCTCTTAATGATGAGCACCAAGCAAGGCAGCTGCTAATATCATTGTTATAGTCTTTGGTATGACTCAGCTGGGGTTTGAACCCATGACCTCCAGCATCTGAGGCAGACATTCTTACCACTAGACCACCAGAGGGGTCTTCATTTAGTTAGGAACATCATACACTCATGTACATGTACAAACATTATAAAACTTTTTTAAGTTAACTTTTTTGTGACATTAATCCACAATATATTACCTCTTTTTAAAAAATCTAAATATTGTGTACAGTTACAGCATAGACAAGGCTCTCAACGAATTCAAAACTGAAGAATCATTTGAATTATGATTCCATAATCTCCAGTTAAAACTGAATTCTCAATAGTGATTAAATTTTACAATCATTAGCTTACAACTGGGATAGTTTTGTTATTCATGCTACAAATTGACTTTTGAAAGATTTCTTGTCTCAAGAGGAATAAAGAGAAACAAATGTGCAGTAAAATGCAAGGAATAGACTAGCAGACAGTGAGAATGATATTGCCTTTCCTGAATTTGGTAAAATTCTTTCTACTTATATATAACTCTGTTATATTTGGTATAAGAAACAGAATAAAAGATTATTTTATTCATTATGTTTTTAACCTCTCAACATATTTTATATTAAACTCCTGAAATCATTTTATTCCCACACAAATATACAAATTTTATGTGAATCAAATATTTGATTTCTGTAATATAAACAATTCAATTACATCTTGTTGCATGCACCTAATGATAATGATAATGATAATGCATTGATAATGCATATCCAGTTTTATCAATATTACAATTGTTAACTTTATATAATTTGTGTACTCTTAAGTAATCTGTCAACAACACATGACAGTTATTTACTTCCTCCTATTTTTACTCTTTATAAACTTAGCAACAATCCTCTCTGCATCAAGTTTTTGACTGATGGACCTTGTGAATGAACAGTTTACAAAAACATTTAAGAGAAGAAAAAAATTATTCCTTCTCACTATTTAATCTGTGGTGTAATTTCAAGGCATGAAATAAATCATTGAGCATAACACCCTGTAATTTATTTTTTACTAAATGATACATTAATTAAACACTTGAATTATAATTTGCTTCACTAAACAAATTAATCATCAAAAAACACTATTAAAGATTGTCCAATAACCTTTAACAACTGACTTGACTTTTACCATATTTTCCAGTTTTGTCTAATAGATTCTAATTTGACAAGCAGTCAAAAAGATGCCAATATATGATCAAAAGTTAATTCAGTTGAGTCATAACTGATTCCCTCTTCCATGAAAATAAATGTCAAAGATAATTAGTAAATAATAATTTATGCCCACCAATACATGACATCAATGACCTGTTAGCTTTGCCCTATACATACTGAATTTATATAGGACAAATAATAATAATAATAATAATAATAATAATAATAATAATAATAATAATAATAATAATAATAATAATAATAATAATAATAATAATTATTATTATTATTATTATTATTATTATTATTATTATTATTATTATTATTATTATTATTATTATTATTATTATTATCAATTAGTAGAAGATTAACAAAAGCACAAAACCCACCAGATAACAGTAACTTTTATTACTAATATATCCATTCAAGTATGACAAAATTACCAGGTAGATTTGCATTAATAATAATCATAATAATAATAATAATAATAATAATAATAATAATAATAATAATAATGATAATAATAATAATAATAATAATAATAATAATAATAATAATAATAATAATAATAATAATAATAATAATAATAGATGACAATAATGATAATAATGATAATGTTGACATGGTAAAGCAAGTAAACTTCATTTGTTTTATGTTCCTTATAAAATAAATGTCACTGGTCTGGTACACTATGAACTTTTGGACAAGGTCAAGTACAAAACACAGATATACAGTCATTATGAAAATCCAGAAAATAACACAAATATATGTAACATTGATGTAATGAGAGAGTAAGGTTGAGAATGACACCAAGGTTTTAGACTGATTGTATGAATTTAATGTTGGTGTTGTTGACACTAAGTGTTTCAGGTAAACATTTGGAATAAGAGTCATAGTTTTCTCAACATAAAATGAATAATAACATCTCATGATATCACCAATAATATCAAAATGTCATGCAAGACAAAGGCATTAGAAGCAAAATATCTAAATGTATTTAAAATTATTTAAACTTTTTATTCTGTATTAGGGTATATTTTTTTTGCATCATGTGATAATAGAACCTTACATTGGTGCCTATTTCAAATAAAATTTGTATAAAACTTCTGAAATTTTTAAAATCTTCTGCTTGATCTTTACTCAAGTTAAGATCCTTTCTAATCTCAATTTAAATTAATGAAAACGTTCCAAATTTTCCTAAAATATCCTGTTTCAATCACTAAATTTTGTTCCCGAAAGAAAATTCTCAGTCTGAAAGAAGTAGTTCTAGCAATGAACTTGATGAGCCTTTTCCATGCTTCTAAAAGATTACTTTCAAGATAGGTGATTATTTCCTAGTGCCAATATTCTTATATGAGAGCTTGAGGTGGCAATACACATACACAACTATAATGTTAAGTCTACAGAAATAGTAGCTCATAATAACATGGTTTGGGTTCACAACAAATAATTAGACCAGTATGATATATTTTCTCGCCATTTAAAGCAACATTTTTTCAGAAATGCAAAATCCATGCAGCTGATCTGTACAGGTGTACAATTATGGTGCCATGTGTGCTTTATGCAGCTGATCTGTACAGGTGTACAATTATGGTGCTATGTGTGCTTTATGCAGCTGATCTGTACAGGTGTACAATTATGGTGCTATGTGTGCTTTATGCAGCTGATCTGTACAGGTGTACAATTATGGTGCTATGTGTGCTTTATGCAGCAGATTTGTACAGGTGTATAATTATGGTGCCATGTGTGCTTTTCCAAACTGATCCATCAACTTATTCTGAGATCTGTTCACCCTTTTACAGAAAAAAATGCCACAGTTGACTCCAATAGGTATGATGACCTAGGCCATAGACAGTGATCATAGGCCCTTGGGTAAAAAACACCTGGGTCTTTCCTAGTTCTTGTTCAAACAAAATTTGTCTATTAGGAAAAGTGTTGTTCCTCCCAGGACCATAATGGGCCTGGGCCCCAGGGATATATCCCTGGTTTTCCTTCTATCTTGTTGGCCTTGGTGATGTCAGGTCTGCCTTTAAAAAACAGTGAGGTATTCAACTGACCAATCAGATGTCTTAATTCAGAGAACTGTTTATCTTCAGTCAGACAAAACAAAACTTTGACACAGCTTTTGAGCTACAGGTGTGATACAAGATCTGTTTTTCAAAGTAGTGATGTATGCAACAGACCAATCAATTGCTTATTCTGTGATCTATTATCTTCACTGTCAGACAAAAAAAAATGAGACAGTATAACCAATTCAGGTGTATGGGTGTAATTTGCAAGTCTGCTTTTCAAAACAGTGTAGTATATAACTGACCAATTAGATGCCTACAAAGTGACAAGTCACCATCACAGTCAGACAAGAAATACACAGTACAGTTAAAAAAAATACACAGTACAGTTAAAGAAAACACAGTACAGTTAAAGAATACTCAACTCTTTGTGATACCAGGTGCTTTTCAACACAGCAAGGCAGGTAAACAAATAACCATGTGCCTATTGCTACCATCAAACCATCCTGTGCAAGGCACTTTAGTCTTGACTTCTCTTTCTGTGCCATAAAATACCAAACAAAATCACTGCATGAAACATATACAATCAAGCTGATACTTTTAGACTGAAAATAAAGTTCTGCAGTCATCAAAAACTTGCTAGATGAATTTTGTGTACCACTCATAGAATTATTAAGTCCTTTGCTGCAATGACAAAAGAAGTTGCCATTTTAAAAAAAAAATATTTAAATAAACATGCATTAATTTAATGTTAATATTTATATTAGTTTCTTGGCTATGTAATGTTTATCAATTTGTTAATGGTACAGATACTTCATAGGTGTTCAAAAAAGGGCGAAATACCTGTGACAGGTAGCTATAAAATATATTAATGAATTTCCACAATTTTTATTGTCAGTTATGTTCTGAATTGTATATGCTGAATTTAAATTTAACTGATATCTCTTAATGTGATACCTCCACTTATCTTATTGCATGGCCTTTGATCAGTGAATGTCTTTCGTGATATTATGTATACATGTATTAATTTATATTTGTTAGGAGTTTTTTTCTCCAATTATTATAGGTATGTATAATTGTATTTTGGACTTGACAAAATAAATTCAGTATATATCTAACTAAGGAAATTGAGGGGGGGTATAAAAAAAAATATTACAAAGTTATTATTTCTCTAAGAGTGTGGGTTAAATATTAGGACTATTATCAATAAAGGTAAACATGCTTATATGGGTCTGGGTCTAGGATACTGGAATTACCCAATGTTTTCCATGTTCTTTATTATAATTTTAATAAAAGATTTATCTGTTTACAACTTTGAATTATCTAGAAATGAAGTTTGGACCTTCATCCTGGTTCTACTATTGTCTTAGTTTTTGTTTACTTGAAAAATCTTGTTTACTTGAAAACACACACAATCATTTGTATTGATGTTTTCAGTTTTTTATATGGGTGAATTTATTTATTCAAATTAATATTCACTGAAAATACAAAGTGCTTGTTTCTAAAATTCTTTGACTAGAACAATAATTTGGACTTATAGTGATTTTAGACAAGAACATTTTTTGATTATATTTTTGAGATATATTAAAAGACTAAGCACATCAAAACAATTCTAGCTATTGACACATTTCCATGTTCAAAACTACAGGCACATAAAAAAATTCAATATTGGAACTTCTCTGGACTACCACTGGAATTTAGTTGTAACTTTGATACATTTGGATTAGTGATAAATCTTTTAGTACCATCTGGGATATATTTCCCAATGCTCTTAGTTATTATAAAAATTTGTTTCAAATATTCTAGGAAAATAAGTTATTTGTTGAATCCTACAAAAGTTGCTGGTTTTTCCTCTTGTCTTATACTTATTTTAAGACCATAGTTTCATAATAGTGTAAAGATAGTGTTACAAAT